AAGCCTCCCCTTACCCAAACAGCAATTCTAATGCTCCACTGTCACCCCCAGTCCATTCATCACCACCTAATGGTGGCTTCAGGTTTGAATGCTTGGCTGCTAACTCGAAGACTGGACTTTGAGCCCAGCCAGTAACTTCATAGCTATCTTCTTCCATCAAGATTACAGAACAGAAAACCCTACGGGGAAGTTCTGCTCTTTTCCCAGGGGCTCAGGATGAGACGACTCTATAGAGACTATAACAGCCGAGTACTGGTATCTGCTTAACTCATTGGACTCCCCAATCCAGAGGTGAACCTCACAGGGTCAGGACGACTCCGTGTCTTTTGTGACTGCCATGGTCATTCAGCACAAAGATGTTCTGCTGCCGTTTGACTGGGTGCATGGAGGAATGAATGAACAAGGGAGCCGTGATGTTCCAGTGTGACAAATCAGACACACTGGGAGAACACAGGCGGTGTCAACAAATGACCAGGCTCTTCTGAATCTACACATCTTAACAAGAAAAAGGAAGAGTTAGAGTTTTATGTTCCTTACTTTGTTTTGTTTGTTATTGATACTTCTGAGTTCATTTGAGGAAATCGTTCCCTCTGTCTCTTTGTCTACATTCTACCCACCCATTAAGCCATGTAACGGGCTAGGAGCATGAAAACCATTTATGTTATTTTGAGCCTTTGTTTTTTCCCTGACAGCCTAAGAAAAGTCAGATTTCATAAAACAAGCTTCCAATTTGCTACAACTTAAAGGATAACAATTTTAGGACAAAATGTCACTTCTAAGAGGAAGATTAGGCTTAAATTATTCTGTTTTGTATATCGAAAAAATGCCAGCTACGAGTCATATATTAACAATTTGCACATTCAGGTCCCAAATGGAAGAGCTTGATTTCTTTTATACAGTGAATATGAAATATAAAAAAAAAATCTTAAATCCAGGCCAAATCCCAGGGGACCTGATTAAAAACTGCATTTTATTCGTTCGACGGGGAGGGGAACAACACACAGCCAATTTACTCTCACCATCAAAACAATCTAATCCCAAGAAATTGTAATCAGCTTTTTAAAGTTTTACATTTTGAACTTTTCTCTCAAGCAGGGCTGCTCCTACCCTAATTATGCAGATTTTGTTTGGAAGTCTAGAACAGAAAGTGGGAAGGGGGGATGTCACATGATCTTGCTTAAACTTGCACTGTGCATCGCCGAGGCTCGGAGTCCATTTTTCTTTTAAAGAAACCGGAGGGCATATGTACTTGGGGTTTGCCTGACACACAGTAGTAGCCTATTTGCCTTTTGAGTTGAACCCAATGTATAGAGACCCCATAAGTTAGAAACCAGTCCCTGGAGAAGGAGGCCAGCCGTGGTAAATTGGAGGGACAGCGAAAAAGAAGACCATCCTTGGGGAGATGGGTTGACTGCAACAATGGGAGCAGGCCTAGGAACGGTTGTGAGGACAGCAGGGGACCAGGAACTGGTTCTGTCTGTTGTGCACAGGGTCGCTGTGGATCTGAACCGGCTCCATGGTTCTCAGCTACAGCAGCGTGAGATAGAGTAGAATTGTCCCCACATCGGGTTTCCCAGTGGCTGTGGCCTGCCACATCTTTCTCTTGCACACTGGTTGGTGGGTTTGAACTGCCTGTCAGCAGCTGCGCTCTTCAACCGTGTCCTCGCAGTGCTGCTGGGCACATAGTAGGCATTCTACTACAGCGTGCTTGGCTATTCTCTGGCACCACTTGCCGGAATAGAGGATTGAGGCCACCGAATCATTGGCGCTCCATGAGTAGGGATGTTGGGTTCTAGAAGAACTGACTAGTTTGCTGTGATGCAGTTCTGACCGAGCACAAGCCTCTTCTCGGAAGATGGGCTGGTGTCTATAGTCCCAAGTTGAATTCCAAGGGCCGAGGTTGAATTCCAAAGAAGTCTACTGAGGAGGATTTCAGGGAAAGGCACTTGCTCAACACCTGGCACCTAAATGGGACCTCAGTATGCATTCGCTTCATTTGGGTTTGAACTGAGGGTCTAGGTCGGTGTTACCTGAATGGATTTGAGGGCATCTGACCCAATGGCTGGCCCTCATCCAGTGGGGAATGGCTGGGTTTTGTTCAGAGATGTCTGATGGCATCATCAGAATTTTTAGCGTGCCTCCCTGGCTGTGTATCCTGTCTGTTACATTTGCTGCCTGACTTTGAAATTGGATTTCCTCCTGTTTTACTGCAGAAAATGCAATTCAAGCCTTTGGCAACGGCTCCGACGTGACTGTGTGGCAGCCAGCCCTCCCGGTACAGACCACCACTGCCACCACCAGCACCGCCTTCCGGGGCAAGAACAAGCCCCTGGGACCAGCAGGCTCTGAGAATGAAATTCCTACTCACATGTTACCGCCTTGTGCAAACTTACAGGTGAGATCTGAGTCTCCCCTCCCCTATGGCGCTCACTCCTGCAGGGACCCACTTTCTGATCTGCATTTACAGAGAGGGCAATTTCTGCTCAGATTTAAGTCTGAAAAGTGCATTGAAATCCTGGCATACGGGGCTCCAAAGGGCTACAGAAACCAAAATTCCAAACCCGCTGCCACCAAGTGCATGCCGACTCATAGCAACCCTGTAGGACAGGGCAGAAGGGCCCCTGTGGGTTTCCAAGACTGTCACTCTCAATGGGAGTCGAAACCCTACCCTTTCTCCTGCTGAGTGACTGGTGGTTTCGAACCGCTGATCTTGCAGCACAAGGTGTAACCCACTGTGCCACCAGGGCTCTGAAGGGCGACACAGTGAGGAGGTAAAGCAGACTTGGGAACTGAAGCCATCCTTTTCTGGGGCAGAGGTGGGGGTAGGGGGAGATGTTTATCAAGTCACTTGACCTACCTACCTGGCCTTGGTTCCTTTTAGATGAATGGAATCTTCTTGGTGGTGGAATGGAAGGGGTCGACAAGCTATTTATTTCATTATACTTGCCCTGGGTTCTCTATAAAACAACAGCATATTGGAAAAGGGGCTCTTGGGTTTGTCTCTGTTCTTGCTCCTTAAATCTAGTGAAGCCGGTCTAGTTATGTGTCAAGGTTAATTGTGGTATCTGAGTGATACTCAGCCTCTAACTAGAAGATGGGAGGTTCGAGCCCTCCCAAGGCACCTGTGACCTGCTTCTGGAACAAACGCAGCCATTGCTGTCCTCCTCCTTGCCATCCATCTGATCTTTAGTCTATCTCCTTTCTCTTCCTGTGTCTCCGGCCCCCGCCAGCACCCACCTTGAGATACACACACCACTAAGGGCAACCAGGTGTTCTTCATCCTTTCAAAGCATTTCCTTTGTATGTACCATGCCCCAAACAGCAGTGGATTCTGGGACTGGGCAGAGGCTTTTGGAGTCCTGTGGCATCTCCCTACTCCAGGGTCCTGGAGGTAAGAGAAGAAAGTGACTTGCACCAAATCCCCAAGCCAGTTATTGGTGAAGCTAGGCTCAGATGTGGATGTCAGTTAACACGAGCGCCCCCTCTGAATGATATGAACTTGTTATTCTAAGGTGATAGCAGTGACTTGTTGGTGATCCCCAAGGCTAGAAAAGGTGAGCTATTCTGCTACCAAACCAAGTTCTCTTCTGTGCATGGTTAAGTGCCAGAGCATGGCTGCAGAGATGCCTCATCTGCTGACCCAGCCCTTCTGCGTTTTGGAAACTGGGGGGAGATGGACATTCCAAAATACATCCTCTGCTCCATGACCTTGAATAGAGTGGGCAAGATATGGCTTGTTAATACAGTTGGAAGGTCAATTGTACTTAATTGGTCACTTCTCAGAGGAATGGGCATCACTGGAGGTGCCATGACTCTTTGTCCCCCCATGAATGGGCCAGGAACCCATCTGCCACCAGAGGCATTTCCCCCAGCCAGATCACAGCAGCTGACTCCAGCTTCCTGCGGTGAAGCACAAGGTGGGCTGACCATGGATATTCTGCCTCCAACACAGGCCTGCCAAACCACCCCTCCCTTGGAGGCGAGCGAGCTCTGTGTATGGCAGGGTTGCCCTGGCAACATCAGGAAACTTGTGAGCTCTGTTCCCCAGAAGGAGCCTGTTCTTGAGGAGCAGAGGGGCAGAGGCTGGTGGTTGGCAGAGAGTTGCCTTTGAACGTCTTGGCAGAGGGAAAATGGAAGTGGGGAAGTGTCCGGGAACTTGGGGCGGGGGCAGGGGGCACCCTCATCTCTCCTCCCTCTAAACAGCAGTCTGCCTCCAGGGGGCCTATATGAGCTCCACAGAACCTTGCTTTGACCCTGTAAGACAGTGGTTCTCAACCTTCCCAATTCTGAGACCCTTTAGTACAGTTCTCATGTTGCGGTGACCCCCCAACTCTAAAATTATTTTCATTGCTACTTTATAACTGTCATTTTGCTACTGTTCACGGGTGACCCCTGTGAAAGGGTCGTTTGACCCCCAAAAGGGTCACGACCCACATGTTGAGAACCGCAGCCCTAAGATGACTGCCCAGGGAGCGGTTTTTGCATAGGTGAGGGGGACTGTACTGTCCTCTCTGGGCCTTGTCTGCCTCACCTACACAATCCCACGGTGGCCTGGATGCTAAAGTTGAGAGGTGCTTCCAGTGCTCAGTGCAGCGTGAATGACCCCAAATGCCTCCATTTCCAGCCAAACAAGAGTCATGTCTATAGGTGAAGTAGTGAGTTCCACGCTGGGCTGCTCCCTACAAGGTCAGCAGTTCAAAATCACCAGCCATTCTACAGGAGGAAGATGAAGCTTTCCACTCCCATAAAAATCTGTTACAGTCTCCGGAACCCAGAGGGGTCTGGTTCGACTCTGTCCCATAGGGTTGCTATGAGTTGGTATTGACAGTGGTTTTGACTTAGAAGTGGACCACTAACCCTAGGGCTGTGTGCACACCAGAGAATCATCAACCACTTCACATCAAAAGGGCGGCATTTACCCAAGAGTCAAGTTCAGAAGGGTTAGGGAAGGAGGGGGAACAGAAACAGGAAGCCCAGGCAGCAAGTGGGCTACTCTTTGGGATGGCGGTCAATGGGATGACACAATGTGGGTCAACTGTTGAATGTAGCGCTGATGATCTGCTCTGTAAAGCTTCACCAATTCACAGGGATACGTTGAAAGAATAGTTCCTGTGTCATCTGTGCTTCCAGGGCGGTTGGCCACTCAATTCCTCAATGGCCCACGGTAGTGGTGGCAGATCTTACTGAGAGGTGGGGTGTTGAGGGGACATGATGCCAGGACATTGTTTTCCTTCTGAAGGGAGCTAAGGGGCATCGATGTGTTGGCACTGGCTGGTGTATAGTGCACTAGAGCTTTCATGCTCTTCTCAGTTGCCCCAGTGAGTCCGGTCTGGCAGGCATCTTTGCCATTTATAAACGAGGTACCTGAAGCCGGGAGAGGCTATTGATGTCAACCATGCCACATCATGATCCTTGGAAAACCTGGCCACCATCTGTGTCAGAAGACCTGAAGGAAGGAAGAGGCTGGTTGGGGAAAGTAGAATATCCTGGTTCTTCTCGAAGATCGGTAACATTGGATTTGGTTCCTCTGTGCCTTGACTCCAGCAGCCAGACAAGAAGAGGAGCGCTAGGATTGGATCGTAGAACTTTATGTGGCCTGATGGTCTTTGGAGGAATGGTTGAGAGAATCATGTGGGGTCAGAGACTTGAAGGGGAGGGGGCTGAAGGCGGGGGAGTAAAAAAGGTTTTTCTGTGAGAAGGTGGTGCTGGTGCTAACAGAGCATGCCTGTGTCTGTGTTTCCGAGCCCCCAGGAGAGCCACTGTCCCCATCTGTCCTTGCATGGCTGGCCTGGCTGTCTCCAGATGAATTACTGTTTGCCGTGGGGCAGGGGGAGGGGCTAGAAATATCTGAGAATGGTGTTTGGCCCTACCACGTGTGCCATGACTCAGAATAGGACGGACATAGATTTAGAGAATGCTGGTACTCTTTGGCAGCTGGAAAGTTCACGTCCCTTGAGAAGGGTCCCCTTGTAATATTCTAAAATGTCCAATAATATGAGAAAAGTCTTGGGGACTAGCATTTCTCACAATGAGAGAGAGAGAGAGAGATCCCACTTGGAAAGGAAGAAGCACAAATGGACATTTTCAAAGTCTGCTGCCTCCAAAGGTAATTACCCCTCCCCCCCCCCACTGCCCCAACCCAGTGCAATTAGCTTTGGGGCCCTGGTGGGGTGCAGATAGGACACACTCATCGGCAGTTTCTCTGAACAGATTCTGCTTTTTTAAAAAGGAACGGTGAGTGATTAGTCTAAAATGTCAGAGAAATGTCCAAGTGCTCACCCCCTGAGGTGACAAAATATGGGGGTTCGAGCTAAGCTGCCAAGCTCCCATGTCAGGATTAATTGGCAATCATATTTGTCACAAGCACGACGCAGGACTGTGCTATTGTTGGCGTAGTCCTTTGACTTGTGCAAAGCAGCCGCATGGAAAACAAAGAAACGTTAATACTTCTGTGCACTTGAGTGGGCTGGACAAAGCGCAGGGTATTTAAACACAATGGACTGTGCTGGTCGCTGGTTTAAAATAAATATCTGTGTGAGGGCTAAGGAAGCACCACAGAAGGTTTTATTCTGCACCAATTGTAGGCAGCTCAGAGTGGAGACCTCTTCATGTGGGATTGGCCCACCTTGGATTGCCACGATCAGACAGTCCTTGTGGTTGTGGACGTGCTTCTTGTTGGTGTTGCTGTGGGCTATTGAGTCTCTTCGGATTCAAAGACCCTATAGGACAGAGGAGAGCTGCCCCCAAAGGCTACCATCTTTAAGGGAGCTGATATTCAAGTCTTTTCTCCCCTGGACGTATGGGTTATAATGGGTTTGAACCCCCAACCTTTGATTAGCGGCCAAAAGCTAACCACTGTGACCCGCCAAAACTCCAAGCTCACTGTCATTGCATCAATGCCGATTCATAGCGACTCCATAGGACAGGGTAGCGCTGCCTCTGAACAAGCGGTTTCCGAGAGATTGTACCTGTTCATGGGAGTAGAAAGCCCCATCTCTCTCCCTCGGGGCAGCTAGTGGTTTCTAACTGCTGACCTCGCAGTTAGCAGCCCAACAGGTCACCAAGATGCCACTGTGACACCACGGCTCCTTCCAGGGGAGTAACGAGGACTGGGCACCCCAGCCTTGGGGCCTGTGTTCAGGACCCCTGACAAAGTTCCACTGGCCTTGCCCCTCTGCACGCCCTTCCCCAGGTGGTGTTGATGAGAGGGTGAGGTCTGACACATCTAGGGCCTGAAATTCAGAAAGAGAGGCCAACAGGGGATGAGGGGGTGGGATGGAGCACCAGGGATGGCAATTCTTGTGCAAACAAGACCCAAGGAGGCCCAGGCCATGTAGGTCTGCGGTAGATGGTGGGCATTCCCTGCCCTCCTCGGGTGAGACTGCTCAGCCACAG